CCAGAATTGAATATATTTTTGTTACCTTGTTTGTACATCTAAATGGTACTTTTTTTTCAAAAAAAAAAATTTCATCCATTGACCCCTGTGGTTTTCAGGCCTTAAGTCACTCTACTGTGTTAAAAATAGATAAATTTCGATATTATGAAATAACATTTTTATTTAAAAACGTATCGATTTGAAATTAAGACAAAATGTAGACCTTATTAGTGGCAATAAATCCACGTATTATTTTTTTTAGATTTTAATATACAGGGGGCACGGTGAACAATTTAATTTAAAATTTTACCATTTTTTAAGGGTTAAAAAGTCAAAGAAGCAACGTTGTTTTATAATTTTGAGTATATCACGTACTGATAATTAACTATTATTTGATATATAAACTTCTAAATGCAAATTATGTTTTTACGAGAGACACCATTTTTAAGTTAAGCCTTCAAAGAGCCTAATACTAACGTGTTTTACAAATTATAAATTCTTTTAACTAGTTTTATAAGATAATGTATTATATATTACATACAATATTTTATATATAACATACAATTCTTACATATTTATTTAAAAAAATCGCCATAGATGTAGCTAAAATTAGTTTTATTTATAAATTTTAAATTTTTTTAAGTTTACTAATTTTGATCATAGTAGGCATCACAGACTTATCACTATGGTAACCTACCATTGGAAGCATGAAAGATAATTTAACAGTTCAGTTTATAAGTTGCAAATGACTGATTGCGATTCAATTTATAAGTGTACTATAAACTTAAAATATTAATTTATTAAAATGAATACACTAAATAATAAGTATAGACAGTATCAGCAAGTTAGAAATTATAACCTACTTAAATTTTATTTTTTGCTCCACAACCAAGCTTCAATTTATGTTTTACTCGATAAACAAGCTTCAATTTTAATTTACCCAATAAATAAATTAGAATAAAGACTTTTTATGTTGCAATCGGCTATTTAGATATACCTATATTTTTATTCATTTGTTTTTCGATTTTTTGTAATTAGTTATTTTGCATTTGCAATATAATGCTATACAGGGTGTTTCTGGAGAAAGGAAAACGGTATGGATTTGAAATTTTAATAGAATATACAATTTGATTTAGACTATACATAAAGTCAATAGTTTTCAAGATATTAATTTTTTTCTTTAAAATGCACGTTAATCAAAATAGCCTCTAATTTGTTTGTTGACATGGGGTTGGAATTTTTGGAATATTAAAACATTGTTTAGTTTTTTAAAGGTTTTTCAACAAATACCTTGAGAAAAACCACTTGAAATTAGGCGAAATTCAAACAATAACAACGTTTTTATTATAAATGTAAAACCCTGTATGTTTTAACATAATCAAATAGAACATTAAAGAATCTTCCGATTGGTATTATAGTAACTCTTTCCTAAAGTTAAAATTTCAGAGACATTTAACAATTTCTAATATTTTCAATACTATTTTGTATCAACAAACCTCTAAAATTCTACATGTGGTTTAATGTAACAGTATCCATGGTTACCACCAAATCTGTCATTGTTTAAAATTAATTAAAATATTTGATTGAAAAAATAATAACTCAAAAAATATTAACTTTAGGTATAGGATATGGTATAGCCATTTTACTCAGAATTTTATGTAGAATTAAATAATGTAAAAATATACGAGGTATTCCGGTAAAACAGGAAGTATTTTTTTTTTTAAATAATTTAGGAAAAGAGTCTAAAGCCAATACTTTACGCTATTAAAATTTTAAATCGATGTCTTTCGCGATTCCCTAGAAACTTCCAACGGACTAGGTACGGAAAGAAGTAATGTCCATTTGAATGCTCCATTGTAATTGTTCGGAGGCATTCGGGTTTTGCTAATAAAATTAACATATCTATTTTTAAACTCAATAATTCTACCTACCTGCTATTTACCATTCTTTCTAAGCACATTTCATTTGACTTTTAACCTTTTATGCAATAATTAAATATTTAAGGAATAACATTGATTCTGAAATAATTTAAATAAAATATATGTTCTATAACTTATTAAATAAACTATATAATATTTAATAAGTTGTTATTAATAAAATAATATATTTAAATGAAATATAGACAATTAATACTAAAATAATTATAAATTAAACTAAAATGCATTTTGTGCACTATTAATACGTTTTTCTACTTCTATTGCATATTATTGAATTTTTTTGTTTTTGCGTAAATAATGGTAACCAATATAACCGCCCGGCCTATCAAAGTGAATTATATTATATTATTATTATATTCACGTTGTTAGGTATAAGTGATTGGCTTATTTTAATATTCACTGTTATTTGAACCAATCGGGTTTTAAATTAGAAAAAAGTAAGGTTGACAGATGTCAGATTTATTTATATATACGAGGGGCGACTATAATGATCTTTAAAATAGGAGAAAAGTGAGGTTATAATAAATTTTGTTATCAATGAAAATTACTTAATTGGAGTAGAAAAAACATAGTATAACACTCGAAATAATGCGCATTATTTACTCGGATGAATTACGTATCTCGCCTGACGGCTCGATATGCAAACCTTATCCTTTTGAATAATAGCCTGCATTATCTCTCGTATAATAAATAATAATATACTATCATCAACATTTTAGTTTTCATTACTTGTTTTATGAAATATCTGCCCAATACCAACTTATTTCAATGTATAAAAATCCAATAAAATATGGAAACGGCATAAATTTATAATTATTATAATAATTTAACTTGGTATTCCCAAAGGCCCTAAGTGTCAAAAATAAAATTGTGAGAAATCAATGAAAATCCATCCATCTTTAAAATACAAAAATAATATGGAGAACATTTTTTTAGTCGTTTTGCATGGCACATAGACTATTTTTAAATTATAATATAATATTTGATAAAATTTGGTCCAAATCCTATAATTGAAGAGCATTCGTGCAAAACCGGTTAAATCCATTTTATTCAGTTTTTGTTTTTTTTGATTTCGCATCTTTGGGTTCATTTCTATCGACAACCAAGATAATTCTGTTTAAATCCGACTATATCCATGTTAAAATCACATTTAAAAGGTAGCTTTAGGAGCTAAACCGGCCAAATCCACGTTTTTATAGCAAACCCTGCTATATCCAATAAATAATAATGATGATGAGCATGTGGCTTGGATATGTCGATACTACTAATAAAATTTGTTCTGTTTTTTCATGTTTGCACTAAATTTATTTTGTTAATATTTTTGAATAATTAAGGTTTTTTTTCACATTTTATTCGTTTTTTATTCGGTTTTTGAGCAAAACCGGCTATATACAAAACATTTTTATAAAGTTTTTGAAAACGAAAGTATGTCTTATAAATCAAGTACCACAAAGCCCAGAAAACTCAAGTTTGCTTTTTCTTTTATCTGTAAAGGCCAGGAAACCGAGAGTTTTTGCCATTTTCCCAACATTTTATTAAAGTGGATATAGCCGGTTTTGCACGGATTCTCCTCAATTATTAATGTAATTATTTACCATTTCTTTTTAAATAAAAAGGCAGCTTTCTTTGCTCATGGTTTTAGATAATATTTTCCTAAAAAAAGGTCCTACTAAATTTTACCATAAATTTTGTTTCGCTAAAAAAGTTTGAAAATCTTGAAAATTTCTATAAATTCAACTTTTACCTTGAATACCTACCAAAATTTGTTTCAGTTTTACTAATCCGAGTTAAACTATTTTAAAGTATTTTAAAAAAATCTCATATTATTTTAATGGGAAATAAAAATTCCCGATGAAGGACCCGTAAATGTAATATTAAGAGCTTACATTTTAACAGGACCATTTTTTTGAGATTCTGAACAATATTTTTGAGGTGCTTTAAAAATAAATATTCGATTTTTTTGTATAAGTCTAATAATTATATATTAAGGTGTCCCTAAACTTAGTGTCATAAATTTAGGAGCAGATTAAGCAAGTCAAAATAAGACGAAAATCTAAATAAATATTTTTCCTAATTACGTATGTTTAAAAGATACAGGGTGATAAAGTGTTACTTATCATATCAGTTTTTTAATATAACTTCTACTATGGTAGACTTGGAAAGGTGATATTTTTGCGACCAGTCACTTACTACCAAAACACATATTCACACATGATTACAATTGTTTGAGTGAACCCAGTGTCGTAGAAACGGGGGTTGCTTTAAGCTTATTGTCCCATACAAACTTTGAGGTTAGGTTTTTGTAACATTTTATGCAATTTTTCGATTAAACAGTTCGGCTACCATTAAAAAGGTGTACCTCTCAAACTTCGATAAAATAAACCGTTTCCGAGATATTCGAGATTACAATAATTGTTATATCGCATTATTTAAAACGATTAAAAGGTATATGATAACTAATTTTATTTTTTAATTGAATCCCTGAGTCTTGGAATCTCTTACAAGAAAAACAAAAACTTACTGTATTAAAATCACATCTACTTAGCAATACTTTTTACTCAATTCAAGAATTTTTAGACCTTAAATTTTAATGAAATTATTTATTTTCTTATTTTATATTTTATTGTTTAGTCTGTAAGTTAATTTTATATATACTCTATATTAGTATTTGTGACACTTCATGTAAATTTTTTTTGATGAAATAAAGTATCTATCCATCTATCTATCTATGTATAAATCGTATGCGCGCGATTAGAAACATCTGATTTTTTAATTTTTTAGCCGTTGTAATTAGGACACTCGGTTTCACGGAAATCGACTACAAGTAAAAAGTCAAGTGACCGATTTTTAAAATTTATTTTATATTGTAAAGAATACTTTTGTAAATCAAGGATATGATAAAAAGTCACTTTACATGTCACATTGAAATTCATCAAACGCAAGGATTAAATTTAGGTTTCCCATTTGTATAAAACTGTCGTACATGTGTCATCTAGAAGACACATTTTCTGTGCAACCAAGTGTATGTGACATATTATATTTTAAATTGTGCAAGTGATCATTTATTTGTTTAGTTCAGTTATAATGTCAGAATCAAGTAGTGATAGCAGTATTTACGGAGAAGAAAGTGAAACCGTGATTCCTGCCAAAAGAATTAAAGGTATTTTCCACACCGAAGAGTATAAAAGAAACGTAATCAGAAAATCCAAGGTTGCTGGGAAGCAACATACAAACTGGAGAGGAAATATCGTTGAAAGCAGAAAAACAGATGACCCATGCAGGTATGCTCTACATTTTAGTTAATAATGGGTATTTGATTACTAAAGAAGTATTTATATTTCAGCTGTAAAAAGAAATGTTTTTCAAGTCTCACTACAGAATATCTTCAATATCGTTTAAGTCATTTCAACAATTTCAAGAACAAAAACGAGCAAGACATTTACTTGCAAGGATTGATTACAGTTGCGAATGTACAAAGAAAGCGAAGTATGATGATGTAGTCGGTTTATGTTTCGATTATATGTCTAATTTACCTCTGTCGCATATTCCTGTGCAAGACATATTTTACTACCGTCAGCTCTGGGTCTATACTTTTAGCATCCATAATCTTAACACTAACAACGCTAAAGTACCATGAAGGCAAAGCCAAAAAGTATCCCAATGAAGTCTGCACATTTCTGCAAGAGTACATTAAAAGTAACATTTCCGACGAAGTAAAAGAACTTAACCTATTCAGCGACAACTGCAGCGGTCAGAACAAGAATCATACACTGATAAGATTTCTATCAGCACTTTCTGATTCCGGTAGATTCAGTAAAAATCGTTTTTTCTTTACGAATACGAGGTCACTCCTTCCTACCATGCGACCGCGATTTCGGGCAAATTAAACGCAGAGCTGACCGCGTTTATTTTCCTGAGGAATATGCTCTAATGATGAAAAAATCAAGTAATAAGCGAGATAAATTCGAAATTTAAATGGTAGAAACAAGGGACATAAAGGATTTTAAAACATGGTGGTCAGGAAATTGGAAAAAAATGGTAACACCTGTTGAAAGTGCAAACTCAAAAGGAAGAGACAAAGTTTTAATATATCAAAATTTTATCAATTTGAATTAAAAACTGAAGTGCAAGGTTCTATAATAACAAGAGATTTTATTGATGGAATAACAGTGCACACATTTCGATTGTGACTGAGCAAAACACCAGTTCCCTTACCATCTAAATTTGCCTATAATAGTAAAATACCAATAAGTAAAAAGAAACTAAAGGATATCCAGAGCGTTTTCCAGTATATTGATGAAGAACATGAAGAATTTTACCAGGATATCTTACAGTGGCCTACGAAAGAAAAAGAGGAAGACAGTGAAGTAGAAACAGAAACTGTTTAAAAAATGTTATGAGATTATTATTGAATTTGTTTTATTGTTATTTTTGCATTAGAAATATATATATGAAAATCAACATATCGTATAGAATTTTTTCCACGCTTTACGATAAAAATGGTCTCGAAAGCGAGAAAAAATTTTTTGGTTATAAAAAAACGATTTTAAAAATATATTTGTTTTTTTCTCAAAATGCGACACATTGAATTTTTTAAAATTAATATCAAAAGAAAGCTTTTTCAATTCCCTAAATTTTGATGTAATATGAAGATGGGATCCCAAGAATAAGTCGAAAAAAATAAGGGTTGAAGCGCGTAGGGACCGTGCGGCGAGCAGCTACTATAGTATACCTATTGCAGCGGTGCTCGGTCTACTACTTAGTGGATTAATTGGAGAGGGTCAATACAACTTTTAAAATAATTTTTATATAGAAATAAATGTATTTTTCGATGGGTTTAAGTCAAAACAGCACAAGCGCCAAATTTTTTTTTTAAGAATACAAAGGTACATGTACTTTTAACAAATTTAAATTTTTTGGCGCTTGTGTCGTTTTGCCTTAAACTCATCGATTTTATTGCAATAGTTCAAATTAATAGCAATTAAAGTAATAAGTTGCTCTTACTCTGAATAAATTACACGTGCACGTGAATGTAAATAAGTTCTACTATTTAATGCAATTGCAAGTGTCTCACAATAATAATACACATTTTCATGTAAACTTTTTATTGAACATTTTAGCTATTTTTTATTTTTGGGAAAGTACAAAATTCCTTTTCCGTTAGGAACAAATGAGTGATATTTCTGTGTCCCAGGAATTGATTTTGCAGAATCAAATCGCTTTTTAAGAATTTCTGCTGTTTTCATATGATATTTTTCAGAATGAAAAATACTTTTGTTTCTTTCAAACTTTTTTGAGCCTATTCATACAAACCTTTGGCATCTAGAATTGTATTTTTTGATTTTGCATGCAAACTTGCGCGCGCAGCCAGTCTTTTTAAATTCCCATTAATGCCGTGTGCTGTTGCATTAAAGTGCCACTCGGCTGAAATACCAAAATCTGTTTCATATCGCAAAAGATTTTCAAAGTTGTACTTGTTTTTGAAATGTTGTTGCAGTAAAATAAAAACATTTTTATGTATAAAATTTTGTTTTAAATAACACAGGACCACAAAATAAAATTGAAAGGTACCTTTGACCAAACCAGGTACATTATATGTTTTTGGGGTCGCTAAAACTGAATCCGAAACCCGTTTTGCCCCATCACGTCAGGTTTTTCTGCAAAACCCATAAAAACCCCATAAACTCTTAGCGACTCTCGAAATAAAAGAATAATAATGATTTAAATGGTCATAAATTAAACTTTACGACCTTACAAATCACATAACATAAAAACCCCATATTCCCAAAAATTAGGCTGCTCAACCCCATAGACATTTTATAAAATTAAAAGGTACCTTTGACCAAACCAAGTACATTTTACGTTTTTGGGGTCGCTGAAACTGAATCCGAAACCCGTTTTGCCCCAACACGTCAGGTTTTTCTGCAAAACCCATAAAACCCCATAAACCCTTAGCGACCCTCGAAATAAAAAAATAATAATGATTTATATGCTCATAAATTAAACTTTACGACCCCAAAAATCACATAACATAAAAACCCCATCTCCCTAAAAATTAGGCTGCTAAACCCCATAGACATTTTATGAAATTGAAAGGTACCTTTGTCCAAATCAGGTGCATTCTATGTTTTTAAGGTCGTTGAAACCTAATCCGAGACCCTTTTTACCTCATCACGTCAGTTTTTTTCGCAAAACACATAAAAACCCCATAACCCCTTACCAACTCTCTAAATACAAGAATACCTAATAATGATTTAAATGTTCATAAATTAAACTTAACGACTCCACAAATCCCATAACATGAAAACCCCATATCCCGAAAAATTAAGGTCCTCAACCCCATAGACATTTTATGAAATTAAAAGATATCTACCAAACCAGGTGCATTCTATATTTTAAAGGTCGATGAGACTAAAAACCCCATAACCATAAATCTATAAATACAAGAATAATGACGTTTTAAATGCTCACGAATAAAGCTTTTAAGCCCACAACCTCTATCTTGAAAACATGGGCAATACATTATTATTATTATTAATATTATTATTATTCCTTAAAAAACTAAGCTTTAACTAGACTAGTTGCATTATATAATTTTAGAGTCGCTAAAACTAAATTCGAAACCCGTTTTGATACGTCATGATGGCGGTTTACTACATCGTGATGGATTACATCAGTTTTTTCCGAAAAAACCCATAAAAATCTCTTAAATACTTGAGTTATGGGACTATAGGGTTGAGCAACTTAGTTTTTGGGGATATGTGGTTTTTAAATTATATTTATAGAGATTGAGACCATTAAAAACCTGTGCATTCTTGTATTTAAGGAGTTTAAAAAATTATGTCAAGGGGTCATGGAGTTTATAATCATTTCTTTTTCTAATTCTCTTTTTATAAAAATAAGTGTTTTTCTGTTTATAAATATTTATATCGAAAAAATATATGTTATTTTTCCTTCAATCTTTTCAAAAATTTTACAAATAAAGATTTGTCACTAAAATCAAATAATTTTTATTTCTTAATAAAAATTAAAATAAAAAGTAAAATAGACAATACAAAATAAAGCTTTGGCATCCTAGAATTGTAAATAAATTAAAAAATAAATAAAAATGTTTTTTATGAAAATTTAGTTGTAAATGCAAATTTTACAAAAATAACAAGCCATATTAACAAGAACTTAAACTACATTTAACTTTATTATTTATCAAAAGTTTAAAATTAAAATGAATATTTAATTAAAAAAGTGTCAATTTTTTCATTATAAAATTGAAAATTTGGTCATTGAATACTGATGCCAAGTAAACACTAAAATACTATATTTTATTTAATAGAATGTCAAATTTAGAAAAATTAGGATAACCCACAGGTCTTAAGTATTTAATGTTTACTTGGCATTAGTATTTAATGACTCTTGGAGTGATAACGAGTTCGTTTATTTATGAATGATCTCCGTAATGCTTTTCTTTTATGTTGATTTGACATATCTCTCTTTAAAGACCAACAGTAGTCTGCCAACATGTGGCCATCCCAAACACCCTGATATCTCTTTTCAACATCTTTTAAATCCTGGTGAAATCTTTCGCCCTGCTCATCACTAAAATTGACTAAATTTTCAGGAAAATATTCAATGTGTGAATGAAGAAAGTGTAGCTTCAGTTTCATCAGGCATTCCATATTCTTAAAATTTGTTACCATATTTTCAACAATAATTACGTAATTCGGATCTTTTGTATTTCCTAGAAATTTTGTTGTAACTTCTTCAAAACTTCGCCAGGCTGCTTTTTCCACCATGGTCATTCTTTTTTTAAATTCGTCATCTTTTAAAAGTGTTCTTACCTGGGGCCCATCAAAAATACCCTCTCTTATTTTCGCATCAGATAGTTTGGGAAACTTTTCGAAGAGGTACATAAAAGCTTTGCTTTTCTTATTTCTCATCGCTTTAATAAATTGTTTTACAAGACCAAGCTTTATATGTAATGGTGGAAGGATAACTTTATTTGGTGGTATTAGACTCTCTTTTATGATATTTTGAGATCCTGGAATCAAACTTTTCCTGAGTGGCCAATCCTTTTTCACGTAATGTTCGTCGCGGGCTCGACTGTCCCATTCACATAGAAAGCATGGGAATTTCGTAAATCCACTTTGTTGACCTAATAAAATTGCCATTATTTTTAAATCGCCACACATTTGCCATTTGTGTTTATTATAATTTAATTTTTCCAGTAAAAAGCGGAGGTTGTGGTACTCCTCATTTAATACGACTGAATGACCAACTGGTAGCGGAGCATACTGGTTACCATTATGTAGTAAGACTGCTTTTAAACTTCTTGTTGAAGAATCTATGAATAGCCGCCAGTCATCAGCTTCATACGAAATATTATATTCGTTTATTAGTCCTTCAATATCATTACAATAAACTAAATTATGCAGGTCTGTGAAATATTTTCTAAATTGAATATCTCTATTTCGATAGAATGTTATACAAGTTCCCGGAGCTAGGCAGTTTTTCTCCTTTAATCTTGACGCTATTAGTTCTGAAATTTCTTTCGAAAGTCCTGCGTCCCGGACCAAGTCATTTAGTTCTTCTTGGGTGAAACCATTAGGATTTTCATCGGTCTCATCTTCTGATTCTTCTGATGTTTCACTTTTCATTTTTACATCCTCAGCGTCACCATCAGATGAAACTTCGTCAGCTGACATTTCCATTGTATCTTCATTTTCGTCAGGGCTAATATTACTTTGCCCAGCATCGAGAAGTATAGGAAAAGTCACAGAATCGACAGACGCATAAGAGATAGAAGATTTAGATTTTCGGCTGTGTCCAAAAATTCTCGTTAAACAAAAGTAACAATCCGTCTCATGATTTATTGGTTCGCGCCAGATCATTGGAGAAGCAAACGTCCGTCTTTTTTGTTTGTTGAGTTGCAAGTAGCATTTAAGACATATCATTTTTGGAGTCCAATGATTGTCCATTTCAACAGTTTCTATACCGAAAAATTCCCTGTACATAGTTTTAAGTACATCTGTGAATTTCTTTCTGTGCTTAGTGACAACGTATTTTCCACAAACGACGCAGAAATAGTCTAGTTTCTTAATGCAAATTATCCTTCTTAAAGCCGCCGATTCTTCTGATGTTTCACCTTTCATCTCTACATCCTCAGCGTCACTATAAGATAAAACTTCGTCAGCTGACATTTCCATTATATCTTCGTTTTCGTCAGGGCTAATATTACTTTGTTCAGCATCGAGAAGGATAGGGAAAGTCACAGATTCGACAGACGCATAAGAGATATAAGATTTAGATTTTCGGCTGTGTCCAAAAATTCTCGTTAAACAAAAGTAGCAATCCGTCTCGTGATTTATTGGTTCGCGCCAGATCATTGGAGAAGCAAACGTCCGTTTCTTCTTTTTGTTGACTTGCAAGTAGCATCTAAGACATATCATTTTTGGAGTCCAATGATTGTTCATTTCAACAGTTTCTATACCGAAAAATTCCATGTACATAGTTTTAAGTACATCTGTAAATTTCTTTCTGTGCTTACTGACAACGTATTTTCCACAAACGACGCAGAAATAGTCTAAGCTCTTATTGCAAAATATTCTTCCTCTAGTATTATATTCATCCATGGCCAAGCCGTTGCTGTACGATAAGGAAGCCTGTGGGCCTGCTATCTCACCCTGATCAGCCGCCGATATAGCGGTTTCGAATTCCTGCTTCGTAATAGGTTCTTTACCTTTGTCTGCCATAGGCGCTGCACAGTGGGATGGATTCCTACACCAGCTAGAAAAAAATATTTTTTGTCTTTGTGTAATTCTAATGCCTCAAATACATAGTTTAATGATTTATTTATTTTATAAAGAAGTTTTTAAAATGTACTCTATGTTAACTTTTATTTAGTGACGTTATTTAATGCAATATAATGTTATTTTATTTAAAACATATAAAGGCTAATCCCTCTCCTATAGTACACCCTTTTGTCAGAAAAATTTCATCGTCTGATTTTAAAATATAATATTTTTAATAAGAAAATAAATTTATTTATATACTTTACAATATTACTTTATTTCACATTTTAAAGTAAACCACTTTTACGGCAAAAAAATGTTTTTGGGTTTTTTAATATGTTTTGTTAGCAAACCATATCTTTTTGATATTTTAAGAGCATTATGTTGAAATATGTTACTTTTAAACAATTAATATTATAATTTTGAATTGAAACTATCCTATCATTTCTTATGATCATATTATTTTTATTGGCAAAATATATATTTATTAGCATTTTAGTCCAGGCAATGGGTAGGATTTGCTGCTAAACTCCACACTAATGAATTTTTTTTTCTATAGACCCAGAGGTGCTGATAACCGCCCCATATTTTGCCCCATAAATTTGGATCGGGAACATCCACTTTTAACCCCCTAAAGTTTGAAAATGATTTTTGCCTATATCTCCGCAAGAATGCATTTTATCGCAAAACAACTATATGACCAAATGTTCTCCCAAAAATTAGCTATCAAACGAGTGTAGCATTTTTTCCCTATTACCAACCTTTACTGACTAATGCAGCGCAAAAATGTTTCAAAATAGGTTTTACTTTCTTCCCAGACTAGCGAAAACGCTTCCATAAATCATAAAACCTTTACATACTGACAATGTACAATTGAAAGTCTCATTTTTAAGGGGTATGTAGTTTTACAGTTCTTGCGTGTTTTTAAAATACAAGGGTATTTACTCTCATATTTACCTGTCTGTAGAATCCCTTATATTTTTTTTTCACCAGTGAAAAAAAATTAACGTTACATACTATGATGTGCTTATTGCAAATCTGAAGGACTTGAAAAAATTTCCTCTGGAACCACCAAGAAAAAATCGATCTTTTCAAATGCTTTTTTGCTGATTTTTAATTGGGTAACTCACTACAATGACTATGAAGCATATATGTCGTCTTGTAGGCCGGGGGCCTACCTTTGAATAGGCACAAATCGATTTTTTCCAAAACAACCCCTTTACTCGTTAAATTTCTGTAGAATTCCTAATTTTTTTTTCATCAGTGAAAAAAATTTACGTTACATACTATGGTGTGCTTAGTGCAAATCTGAAAGGACTTAAAAAAATCCCCTGGAACCACTAAAAAAAATCGATTTTATCAAGTGCTTTTTTGATTTTTTCTTGGTGGTTCCAGAGGAAATTTTTTCAAGTCCTTCCAGATTTGCAATAAGCATGTAAGCAGTATGTAACGTAAATTTTTTTCACTGGTGAAAACAAATTATAAGGGATTCTACAGGCAGGTGAATCTGAGAACTGTAAAACTACATAGCCCTTAAAAAATTAGGCATTCAATTGTACATTGGCAGTATGTAATGGTTTTATAATTTATGGGAAGCATTTTTGTTATTCTGGGAAAAAATAAAACCTATTTTGGAAAATTTTGGCGCTGCATAAGTCAGTAAGGGATTGTAATAGGAAAAAATGCTACACTTGTTTGATAGCTAATTTTTGGAAGAACATTCGGTCATATATGTGTTTTTGCGATAAAATGCGCCCTTGCGGAGATATAGGCAAAAAAAACTCATTTTCAAACTTCAGGGGGTTGAAAGTGGATATTCTCGATCGAAATTTATGGGGCAAAATATGGGGCGATTATCAGCACCTCTGGGTCTATAGAAAAATAAAAAAAATTCATTAGTGTAGAGTTTAGGGGCAAATCCTACCCATTGCCTGGACTATTTTTAGAGTATTAGTTCTTATTATACTGAAATAATTTACATTTAAAGCAATTAATTTTATAATTTAAATTTTTTAAAATATAAAATAAAGATATTATATATATCATAGAAGAAATTTTTTAGAGTATTACATTGTGTTACTTTTAAAAAGTTGACATTTGTAAAAATTAATTTTACTATTTTAATAAAAAACTGCATTTACACTTTATAAAATATTATTTACCTGAATTAACAATTACACTAAAAATTTTTTTTAACAACTTTAACTCAAATTACTAAACTAAATGTGCAGGTTTATTGTAAATCAATTTACTACCATTACAATAATAAATACATCAGTTGATATCTTTATATAAAACTATATATGTTTTTATAAAGCCCAAACAAAATAAAAACAATATTTAAGACAAAAAAGTGTTTTGTTCACTTTTTTATATTGGTAGTTTTTGTAACAATTCATAAAATCTTTTTTAATAAAAACAATATTTTTTTATTTAATAAATTTACGATTCATTAATTTTTCTTAATATTTACAATGTAAAAAAATGCCTTTTTTAAATTTTTTTGTATGAAAATATTTCCTTACTTCAGAAAAATAGTTTTGAATTTTTATACGAGAATTACCAAAAACATATTAGCACTAGAATTTTTTTCCTTATAGTATTAAACAATTTTCTTTTCTTGCCAAGAATAGAAAATTGTTTAATACTGTAAGGAAAAAAATCTAGTGCTAATATGTTAGTAATTACTAACTATACTTACCTATAATTATAAAATTATTTGCTTTAACAGTGCTAAAATATATTTAAAATGAAAAATATTACAATAGAATTATAAAATTATTTGCTTTAAAAATGCTAAAATATATTTAATTTAACAATATTATACTAAAAAATAGATCATTGCAAAAAATAATGGAATAATTATATCCCAAAAATAAAAAATAATAATGTCTTTAAAAGAAACTAATAAAATAAAGTAATACCGTAAAAATTTCTTAATTAATTTATTTTGTTAATAAATCAATATATTTAAAAATCAGACGATAAGACTTTTCTGGCAAAAGGGTGTACTTTAGGAGAAGGATAATTATTATCCTTCTCCTAAAGTACACCCTTTTACTATTATAGTATATACGTTTTAAACAAAATAATATTTTATTGCATTAAATAATGTCAATTAATAAAATTTTACAAAAAATATATTTATACATTTTAAATATAAACAAAACTGATTAAAATATTTTAACTATGTTTTTTGGGCATTAGGATTACATAAAGACAAAAAATATTTTTTCTTGCTAGTATAGCAATCCAGCCCACTGTGTGGAGCACATGTAGATACAGGTAAATAACTTGTTACGAAGCAGGAATTCTGAACCCCAGTATCGGCGGCTGGACAGGGTGAGAAAGCGGGCCCGCAGGCGTCCTCATCATGCAACCGCAGCTGCGGAATATTATATATATTAAATATTTTAAGCTCTTATTGCAAAGTATACTTTGCAATAAGAGCTTAGAATATTTCTGAGCCGTTTGTAGAAAATACGTTGTCAGTAAGCACAGAAAGAAATTCACAGATGGACTCCAAAAATGATAATATATTATGTCTTATATGCTACTGCAACTCAACAAATAAAAAAGACCGACGATTGCTTCTCCCATGATCTTGCGGGAACCAATAATTCATTAGACGGATTGCTATTTTTGTTTAATAAGTATTTTTGGATACAGCCGAAAATCTAAATCTTCTATCTTATACTTATGTTGAATCTGTGACTTCCTATCTTTCTCGAAGTTGAAAGTAATATTAATAGTGATGAAAATAAAAGTGCAATGGAAATGTCAACTGACGAAGTTTTATTTGAAAAGAAAGTTAAAACATCAGAAGATTCAGAAGATGAGACTGATGAAAATCCTAATGGTTTCACTCAAGAAGAACTAAATGACTTAATCCGGGACGCAAGAAATTTCAGAACTAATAAAGTCAAGATTAAAGGAGAAAAATTGCCTAGCTTCAGGAACTTGTATAACATTCTATCGCTATTATAGAGATATTCAAATCAGAAAATATTTCAAAGACCTACATAATTTAGTTTATTGTAACGATATTGAAGGACTAATAAACGAATATAATATTTTGAATGAAGCTGATGACTGGCGACTATTTATAGATTCTTTAACACGAAGTTTAAAAACAGTCTTGCTACATAATGGCAACCAATATGCTCCGCTACCAGTTGGTCACTTAGTCGTGTTAAATGAGGAGTACCACAATCTCCGCTTTTTACTGAAAAAATTAAATTATGATAAACACAAGTGGCAAATGTGTGGCGATTTAAAAATAACAATTTTATTAGGTCAACATAGTGGTTTTACAAAATACCCATGTTTTCTAAGTCAATGTGATAGTCGAGACAGCGATGAACATTATTTGAAAAAAGATTGGCCACTCAGAAAAAGTTTAACTCTAGGATCTAAAAATATCTTAAAAAAGTGTAATACCACCAAATAAAGTAATCCTTCCATCACTACATATAAAGCTGGGTCTTGTAAAGCAATTTGTAAAAGCGATGAGAAGCAAAGCTTTTATGTACAGGGTGTTTTCGCATAAATGGGACACCCCTATAAAATCCTTATTTAAAGGGATATCGAAAAAATTTAAAAACCAGCTTGCATGGCTTGAAAAAGTAATTTCTTTGACAAAAATAAAAAAAACAAAAAAACATCGGAAAATTTAAAAAAATGCATTGACCTTGTTTTTTTCAATGGAACCCCCTGTATATTTTTGAATATTTGAATAGAGTTTTTTTTCTGATTTCAAAAATATATAATTTGTCTATATTGTTAACAGTTTTGTTAATAATGTTCATGAGGTTTGGAAAGTTACCAATGGGTTATGGGGTTTTAATGGGTTTTGCAGCAAAACCTGACGTGATAGGACAAAACGGCTTTCTGATTTAGTTTCAGTGACCTTTAAAACATAAAAGCACCTGGTTTGGTCAAAGGTACCTTTCATTTAATTC